ATTTCGGAAGCCTGGTGTGCATGCATGCCTGGCCAAGGTGGCCATTTGGAAAATGCGTCCTGGCGCCGACGACCGCCTTTGCAAGTTCGCACCTACACGTGTAGAACAGCAGCCCTAACGTTGCGTCTAAGCAAGTCCACGCGAGGACAGCTCAAGAGCACGTCGCCATGGATGCCCGACAACATCGCCTGGCCGAGGGTTGCGTCCCAGCTCCTTCAACCTCGGGCGCCGTTTGGTGGCGCAGAGGGGGCAATAGTATAAGCCTACTTACTACCTTGCATCTAAATCTCTAATCAATCCCCATTTCTCATGTATCCGTTAAGTTCCCTCGATACTGTCAATCAGGCCGAAAAGAGATCGACAACGAGGATGATGTCCGTCCAACCTAGTATGCTAGCCGTCACCTAACTGCACTTCACACGCTTATTAGCTCGACGGTTTAACTTTGACGATTGAAACGGAATAGTTTACGTGTACATTGAAGTAATGTTAGTTGAAAGCACCGTTTGCATTCAAACGACCAAACAAAGGACAACGAGCGCTAACGTTAGCAGAGCGCTTCAGTCAGCCGCACATGTACAACACATCCACTCCACCCATCGCCTTGGAGATTTCGAGAGAGTGTTGAGATCACTTGGATGACTACAGTAGAGGAGTTTACTTGACGCGGGCACTTGGTCGATCACGGCGTCTTGGTGGGGCTGAAAATGCTGCCCTCCTCTTGCCCGGGCTTGGAGCGGGTCCTTCACCGTTCGTACCCTGCAGGCCAATAGCGCACGGTGGCACGTAGAAGTCACTGTACCCTCATGAGCCGACCGCTGCAGATGCCGGACGCCGCCGTGCGCATCCGCCATTTGCCCACAGCATTCGCTGGAAACTGTCCATCATATTCCCCAGTGGACCCACGTAAGACGCGTCAAAGCCCAACGAGACCAAGGTGAAGTTGGGCTCAACCGCGCGCAACGCAGCCGATTCATCATCGCGCCTTCGTCCGACCAACCGGGGCTGTTATCTGATTTCCAAGTCTTGTAAAAAATGTCATTCATGCAGCGAAAACTTGTCATAAATCCGGATACACATATTAACCGGATTCCCCAAACTTCAACTGGGACAATATTGGTACCTCGAACTTCAAGTCAGTCAATTGTGCAAAAGATGCTTGGTGTCCACACGTGGTTGCGGAGTTCCACCGCCATGGCAGGCCAACGGCGCTGGCTGTCTGGGCGCAAGGACGTCGCATGTGATTTGGCGGCATCTAGCATTCGCTTTGGTGCGGGCGTCACGGCTGAGATCGGCATGGATCTCAAGGAATTGAAGGCACGGAACGTTGTTGTGTTCACCGATCCCCACCTAAGAGGTCCTTCAGTAGCTCATCGTCTCGTCGATCTCCTCCTCTTACGTCCATGATGTATACGATTAGACCTTCCAGTGGTGCACACGGTTCTGGACTCGCTGGCGGACAATGGCATCCGCGCGCACGTGTTCGACCAAGTCCGGGTAGAACCGAACGACATATCGTTCCAGCGCGCTATTGCATACATGAACGAACTCGCGGTGAGCGTGGATGCGATCGTCGCTGTGGGGGGCGGCAGTGTCATCGACACGGCCAAGATCGCCAATTTGTACTCGATGTTTCCTCCCGATGATTTTTACGACTACGTGAATCCACCGGTGGGCAAAGGCATTCCCGTTCCCGGGGCGTTGCGTCCGCTGTTTGCAATCCCGACCACGGCGGGGACGGGCAGCGAAACAACCGGTGCAATGCACGTCTATGACGTGGCGCGCTATCTGCCCAACATTCAAGTTTGTGCTAGGAGTGGCGATATTTGACGACACGCACACCAAGAGCAAGACCGGCGTGGCCCATCGACGGCTCAAGCCGACCCTTGGCATCGTGGACCCCCTCAACACGGCGACTCTACCGCCCAACGTGGCCAAGTACTCTGGCTTTGACGTGCTCTGCCACGCCATCGAGTCGTTCACAGCCCTCCCGTTCACCGAACGGCCGTACCCAGCATCTCCTGTACACCAAAGCCCTACTAGTACTACTACTAGTGTGCATTTTTTCACTTGGGATGCGTAGAACCATCGCCCTGCGTACCAAGGCTCGAACCCAATTAGTGACATTTGGTCACTGCACGCGTTGCACCAAACAAATAAGTTCCTGCGGCGCGCAGTGAACGATGTGTCGGACGTCGAGGCCCGCAGCGCCATGCTGCTGGCCTCGACCGCCGCGGGAATTGGCTTTGGAAACGCCGGAGTGCACTTGTGTCACGGCATGAGTTACCCCATCGCCAGCCAAGTAAGCTCGGACAACGGTGCGGTATTCAAGCTAACTGGAGTGTGGGATTGTACAGGTCAAATCGTACGTTCCTCCTGGGTACGACGTCGATCATCCCATGGTTCCCCATGGACATTCGGTCGTGGTTGCCGCTCCAGCTGTGTTTCGCTTCACCGGTAAAGCCAACCCAGACCGGCACATGACGTGCGCTCTGGCGTTAGCACTTGGGACCGACAGATGGTACAAGTACGATCAAATGACAGAAAAGGCCAAGGCAGAGGGGGCCGGCGACATCTTGGCCGACGAAGTGCTCCGGCTGATGCAAGATTTGGATGTTCCGTTGGGTATGTGCATGGAGTGACATGCAATGGTGATGAGCTCGCGTAGGAATTGGGCTGCTTGGCTATACCTCCAGCGATATTCCAGCGTTGGTTAAGGGTACGTTGCCCCAGCACCGAGTGACAAAGCTCTCCCCTCGTCCTGCCACCAAAGACGACCTTCACCGGTTGTTTGCAGATGCCTTGCAATATTAACCGGATGAATGCAGAAATGCCATTGGCTATAAATGATTGCTTGAAGCAGTATGATTCGTTAAATTTGTTGAATGCAAGGTCCACGTGAACCAATCCAGTGTCAGAATGGACATTCCAATTTCGAACACTGCTGCGAACAAAAGGGCTGCAGATGATGTAGTGTTGATAGTTCGTCTAACCAGCAATAACTCCATGCTAGGAACAAGTGCCGCTGCTTGGCTTGTAGCAGTGGCATCCGTCACCATCTCGGAGTTGACAGTGGTCACGCCAGTCAACACGGTCGACTTTCCGGACCACAGTCTTGAGTATGAGATGCTTCGACTTGGGTCAACCATTCTCACCCGAGGTAAAGTGATGGCACCGCTGGTTCAAGTGGTGCCTGTGGACCCATTTGATATCATTAAGCCTTCCGCGTTGGCTGCTCCACTGGATGGATGCCCCGCGTTAACGATTGCCAACGACACATCCACCACCACATCATCGTCGTATCGTCTGGCCATGGTAGCTTAGCATCCCTCAGCCAACTGTTCTGCGTTGAACCAATTGCACCAAGTTCATTCGTTGCATGGGATTGTAGGCGTGCTGTTTTACAACAGCACGGTCGCATTGGATCATGCATTGCCAGCCATTACACTACAACATATATATTACTCAACTTTCAAGTTGCATTGTCCACCATAGTATTAATCACGGCTCGTTGCCTAGCTAAACACTACTACCACTGCCACGGGAGACTCGGCTGCCATTCCCGCCATATCGATCACGAACAAGGACGCCACCGCCTTGCTACGCATGATGCAGCGCAATGGTTCGACGGTAGTCGTGCAGTTGCGCTGGGCTGAACCTAAGGCTAGCGACCACGTAGACATTGCTTTGTACACGTCCTCGACGTCGTCGGCGTTGATGCCACTCTTGGCATCGGTAGCTTCTGTCGTTTCGGCGTTTGTGCCATCGAATGTACACTTCACTCCGTATTTTGTTTTAGGTGTATCCTGCCCACGAATAGGGCTGCGATACGTTTCCACTGAACGACAACTGCCCGTCGCTATGTATGGACAATATGTTCTGCACATACGATCCCGATAACGACCCCGACAGCGGCTACTCGGGCGCCGTGGGGGAATACCCATGTCGACCCGTGTGGCAAGTGTGGTGGTCACGGTAAGTCAAAATTGGACGACTCCACCAATCAAACATGCCCACGGAGCATCATGAATGGACAGGATCGTTTGATGCATGTGGCTTGTGTTTTGATGCCACCGATCCCCGTCGGCAAAACTACAATTGCGTCGTGGAAGACGAGTTGGATGTAGCAAGTGTGCGTGTACAGTACCTCGTGCAAGGCCTGTCGTACGTTTTCACGCAACATATGATAGATATGACGTGGCACACTCACACACAACCTGCTGGTTACGAATAGAAAGACGCATTTTTCAGACCCCACGTATAGCACTGCGGGAGGAAGCGTGTGTAGTTGAGGGCAAAATGCACAAAGAATTAACTGAAGATCTACAAAGATCTCCTTAATCCTCATCACTATGAAATCTTCTTAGTCTACTTCACTACTTCTACACTAATATGCACTTTTGTATACAATGGATGCGGGTGCGGTTGAGACATTGGGGAACTTCACTAGGCTAGCGATTCTAAGCCATACTTGCCCTTGAGACACGTTCCCAGGCAAGCATGAGCTAGGATGCGTTATGAGCCAGGTACTTAGGAGCTGGGTGCTGGCAAGGTGGTGGCAAGCCGTTAACCCACCTGTCACATCGCTACATT